CGCCCGGAGCCCTGAACTTTCTGGCAAAGTGCCTCAGGGCCTCGTGTCCCTATTCCCATCCAATGGCTGTAGCAGCCTCATCCCTCTCCCTTTGAATTTGAATCCACGGATTCTGACTTTTCCCCTGGAAAGCTGCTTAACCTTAACCTTCTTCCTGTCTAATTGTACCCTCCCCACTTCCTGGTCCTCAGCCTCCTCCTTCTGTCCCTGAGCTGGGTCCCGGAGGGGCCCGAGTTTCCTCTTCCTTGGGCTCCAGGCTCTTTGCTTCGTGAGGTAGCCCCCCCCCCCCCCCCCCCCCCCCCCCCCCCCGTCTTAGGCGTGAAGCCACCTCTGGTCTCTGTTAGAAAGACAAATGGAGGAGGATGAGCCTCCCTTTCAGGCACAGGACACTCTTCCAAGCTCTGGAGGGCGTTTGGAAGAAACGTTGACACCAAGTCCCGGTGAAGGGGACCCGGCCCTCTGTCCCGTCAGAACACCCACGGTCCCCAGGCCGGGCCCTGCTGCCTGTTCTGGACCTCGCTGAACAGCGCCTGCTCTGTGCGGGAGGGTCCTAACTGCTTGCTTTAAAGAAAAACCCTCACCGTTGGTAAAGAAAGTCTTCCTAATGCTTGGTTGGTAAATTGAATGTATGTAACTACATAGGACGTATGTAGCTATAGATACACTGAACACGTGTGTTTGAATACTGTGTGGACGCGTGTATGAGGGAGTCATTAGTATTCTGTGACTTCGGTATATGGTTTCTCTACCCACTGGGCCCAGTTGGCGTCATCACTCTCCTTGTTCGTCATCGTGCCCGCCTGCTAACACCCCTCCTGGCCTCTCCTCCTGGAAGTGTGACCGGACGAGGAAAGAAGCTAGCGAGGCCGCGTCCCTGCAGGCACCTCTCTTCTGCTTTACCCTCTAGGCAGGCCATTGAGGAAGAGAAATGGGAACTCAGGAGAGAAGGTCTGGTCCGTGAGCCGTGAGCGAGAGTAACCTTGGCTTTGTTTCTCCCCTCCCGCCCGCCCACAGAGAGCGCCTGTCTCCGCAGTCAGCATCGCTGCAGCAACGGGAACTGCATCAGCAGCGTCTGGCGGTGTGACTTTGACGACGACTGCGGAGACCTGAGCGACGAGAGGAACTGCCGTGAGTCCGGAGGGGCCGAGTGCTGAGATGTTAAGCATTTCCCGTTACACAGAAGGCTGGCCAGCTCGTGGGTGGGACTGGCCATCGAGGGCAGTGACTGTCCGTCTTTTCCATCTCATGGCACACACAAACTAAACCAAAAAGCCGATTTTTTGCTGATCTGACAAAAATAGCTATAACTTTGATTCGTTCTCACCGTACCGGATGGCTATGTCGTCCGGTTGTGTTGGCTGTTGTCATTTTTACTGGACAATCTAAGGGGAAAGAGGCCAGTGCCCTGACGAATAGGAACTGTGTGCTTTAAACATTCCTTTGGCACACCGGCTGAGAACCGCTGGTCCCGGGTGCTGGCTGGCCGTCATGGTTGGTGATGCATGCAAGCCGATGGGGTTGTTTGGAGGACAGAGAACACACCTTTGTATACCCAACTAGATATGTATTATTATTTAAAACAGACCCACATAGATCATTGTAAGACGTTCACAGATAAGCATCACGTGGCTGAAAGTGAGAGTCGGGCAGCTGGCGACGGGGCAGGGACAGGTGGCAGTCTGGGTCTTTACGTAAGTTCGATGCTCACCTTTGGGAGGTGGACCAGGTGCTCGCCCAGGCGGGATGTGGCTGCCTGGGCTCCAGCGCCATTGTGCTGTCCCAGTGTGGTCCGGCAGGTGGGGACATGGGTGTGTGTGCATGTGAATGTCGTCTTTGGACTGTAAATACCTACTGAGTATCTGATTCTGTTTAGCAGGGTTTACAGGCAAGTTTAGCCTCTTTAGTCAGTTGTTAGTAGCTTTGCCCTCTGTTAGTAATATGTTCGCACCTTTACTCAGTAGTATTTACGGAGACCCACTGTTCCGTATGGGGCCCTGGGGCGTACTGGGAGCTGGGTGGGCACATTTTAAAATCTGAAGGGGAATTATAAAACAATCAGCCTGCCCTAGCTGGGGTGGCTCAGTAGATAGGGCATCGGCCTGCAGACCAAAGGGTCCTGGGTTCAATTCCGGTCAAGGGCACATACCTCGGTTGTAGGCTCCTCCCTGGCCCAGGCCCTGGTCGGGGCTCGTGCAGGAGATAATCAATTGATGTGTTTCTCTCACATAAATGTTTCTCTCTCTCTTTCCCTCTCTCTTCCACTCTCTCGAAAAAAAGTCAATGGAAAAATATCATCGGGTGAGGATTAAAAATAAGTAAATAAATAAAGTGAGCAGCAGCGATGAATGTGAGGACAGGGAGCAGGGGGCACCCAGGTCAAACTGGGGCAGGTCCTCCCACAGAGCCTGCAGGTGAGCAGAGGTGACCCAGCATAGGAGGTGGGAGCGGCAGGTATGAAAGCTGTAGGGCAGAGTGGATGTGGCCTGGCCTGGAAACAGGTGTGGGTCGTGGAGACCTGACTAGGAACCTGGGGCCGGGGGCATGCATGGGGCTGGCGCAGCAGGCGTTGAGAGCTCTCAGGAGGGAGGTGGGACCATCGGAGTGAGAGGAGGAACCTTCCCTTTGGAGAGGTGAGCTGTGGGCAGAATGAATCCGAGGGGAAGGACCAGAGCTGGGAAACTTCTCTTCCAAATGCTGTGTCTTTGGAACCCGGCAGCTCATGGCCACTCTGTTCTGAGGAGGATGCTGGTGGCTCTGGCTCTGTGTTCATCTGGTGTCTGGCAGGTGTGCGTGGCCGGCATCCACCTGCAGAGCCCATGCCGGTTCCTGGGATACAGCAGGGAGCGCCCACTCTTCTCCCCCTGCAGGTCGGGCACCGCCCATCCCGCCTGCGGAGAGCACAGCCCAGGCTCCTCGCGCACCGATGAGGGAGCTTCCGAGGCCAACCTCGGGGAGCACTAGCCTCTGCCTGTGGCTTCTGTTCTGCAAACCGACACTGAGAACCCCTCTCCCTCCAGAGTCCCGGGAGGTCTGACATCGGTGGGGGAGGAGCCAGAGCTCCTTAAAAACAGTGAAATAAGCCAGTCAATGAAGGAAAAACACCATATGATCTCACTCATTCATGGATAATAAAGACCATTATAAACTTATGAACAAAAATAGATACAGAGGCAGAGCAGCCTCGAACAGATTGTCAAACTGCAGCGGGAAGGCCGGGGAGGGTTGGGGGGCAGGAGGGAGGCGGGTAAGAGATCAACCGAAGGACTTGTATGCATGCATATAAGCATAGCCAATGGACATAAGACACTGGGGGGTAGGGGAGGCCAGGGGATTGACAAGGGCGGGGAAAAAAAAGGAGATATATGTAATACTCTTTGTAACACTTTAAGCAATAAAACAATAAAAAAAAAACAGTGATCAAGGGTAGCAGCATGGGAGCTGACCTGGAATGGAGTCTGTCCCAGAGCAGGCGGGAGGGGCCTGCTCCTCAGAACCTGCACTTCGCAGGCACATTGCCCAGCCCTGATGAGGCGCCATGGAAGCAGAGGGGGGGGGGATTTCGGGACCTTATGGCCAGTAGCCAGGGGCTCCTCCTGGGGTCCTGGGCGTTGCAGAGACCAGCGTAGGTCTCACGGGCTCTGTGTTCCGAGAGAAAGCACCCCGGCCTCTTCAGGGTGCTGCCTCGCCAGCCCTGAGCTCTGCCGTTGGGTGAGGGTGCAGCTGGCTCAGGCCCTCCTGGTGGTGAGATGTCAGCCTGGGTGACCTTCCCAAGGCCCGAGACTTGCCTTCCACTTGGCTCAGGCCCAGCTGATCAGGTGTAGCCTAGTGAGGAGGTGAGTGTGAGGGACGAGAGTGTGGGGCTGGGGATCAGGGGCACCCGTGCCTCTGTGCCCGGCTGTGTTTCCCCACTGAGGCGGCGGAGAGCAGCGCCGCGGGCATGAGGGCAAGTGCAGGAAGCCTGGGCTGAGGGACCCACTGTCTGGGAGGCTAGGGAGGCATCCTGTCCGCTGCCAGGAGACGAGGGGTGACGGAGGGAGCCAGGGGGTGTGGCCAGCACGTCCCCCTGCCCTTAAGCAGGCTCCTGTGGGGTCCTGTCAGGAGCTTGGGGTTTGGATGTGCATCCCCTACAGTCTCGGCATCATTGCATTTACCCTGCTCCCACCACAAGCTCAGTCCCAGAGAGGAGATGGAGCCTCAAGTCAGAGCCGCCAGGGACGCTGAGCAGCAGTGTCGCCACAGCTTTTCACCTTATGCTCCCCCCACCCAGGCTGGGCCACACCCTTCCTTCTACAGCTGCTCCCCCCCCCCACTGCCCAGCGGCCTCTCCCCAGGCCTTTCCTGCAGGCTCTGGCTCCCAGGGGCTGTGCTCGAGCCCCGACAACCGCTGTTTAAAGGGGGGAAGCTAATTGGGCTTCACTCTGAGGCCGGGGGCACGAGGATGGGGAGGGAGAAGTGACGTTATGTTTACACCCGTTGGGTGGTCTCTGACCCACACGTTTTCTTATTCACCATCATGGTGACACCGTGAGAGGGTGTTGTCTTCATTTAACAGGAGAGGGAAGGAAGCAAGGCACCGACACTTGGCCACAGGCCTTTTTCTCCTTTTATCTTGTTGTTGTTGTTAAATCCTCACCTGAGGATACTTTTAACACTCGGCCACGGGCCTTTTTCTCCTTTTATCTTGTTGTTGTTGTTGTTAAATCCTCACCTGAGGATACTTTTCCATTGGTTTTAGGGGGAGAGAGGGAGAGAGGGAGAGACAGAGAGAAACATCGATGTGAGAGAAACACATCAATGGGTTGCCTCCTGCATGCACCCCGACCAGGGCCTGGGCCAGGGAGGAGCCTGCAACCGAGGTACATGCCCTTGATGGGAATCGAATCCGGAACCCTATGGTCCGTGGGCCGACGCTCTATCCACTGAGCACACCAGCCAGGGCTGCCTTTCCCTCCTTTTACTGGAGCACAGAGGCTCGGGGTCACCGTGAACTGCTTGGGGGGAGGCGGAGTCCGTTCCTGCTGCAGATCCCCCTCCCCTCCACCTGCATGCACACGAGAACGTGCAGCTTCCTGTGGGCCCTGGGCTGCTAATGTGGTTTTCTAGGTCAAGGACCTCCGGCCACTTCCTTGGGGCACCTCCCATCGGAGGGGGTCTCGGGAGGGAACCTGCCATCACTGGCTCTCCAGCCAGACGCTTCCACCTGTCGCAGCTCCGACCCGGGCGCTGTGGCTGTGAACGTCAGGCTCTCTCGCCGTTTGTTCTTCCATAGTCTCAGTTTTGTTTCCATTGCTTCTTCTTTTTAAATTGATTTTCCAGTGGGACGTTTGTATTTGGGGACTGAATTGCACCTAGTGAGTGTGCCCTCTCTCTCCCGTCTCAGCTACTACCGTGTGTGACCCGGAGACACAGTTCCGCTGCCAGGAGTCGGGGACCTGCGTCCCGCTCTCCTACAAGTGTGACCTGGAGGACGACTGTGGCGACAACAGCGACGAGAGCCACTGTGGTAAGGGGACAGGTCGGGCTGCTCCGAGGAGGCCGCACAGGGGTTCTGAAAGCCACGTGGGAGTTACGAGGCCCCGCTGCCGACCCTCCGCCACC